TGTATTGACACTATATAAATTTGTATCGATACTTTTTGTTCAGAATGGATGTCAAAAATGATGAACGCACAAAGTGTCGATACATTTATTAAAAGTGTCGATCCCAAAAACATCGAAACCCATAATTATAATGTAATAGGAAATTTTGTAATATAACCAGTATAAATATACCGATTTTATGAGAGAATAGGTCTACAACATGTATCGACACTTTTTAATATTGTGTCGATACTTTATGTCCAGAATGGATGCCAAAAAGGGTGAACGCACAAAGTGTCAATACATTTTCAAAAAGTGTCGATCCCAAAAACATCGAAACCCATAATTATAATGTAATAGGTAATTTTTTAATATAACCGGTATAAATATACCATTTTATAAGAGAATAGGTCTACAATATGTAACGACACTTTTTTATTTTGTGTCGATACTTATAATATATGGAGATCGTTGTCATTCCATTCTGTCTTCGAAAAAATCAGTTGATGTAGGTTGTGTGCTTGTATTCAAACTGAGCTTGACTTGAGAACATGTTAGTTTGTTATGTCCCTCACCGTTGCAGTACCCACATCGCTTAATTTTCTTCTCGACCTTGTTCTTCGGTACTTCTTTTCGCTTGCGTTGTTTTCATTGAGGGTCACGAATGTTGTTTACTACAATGCTCTGGTTGACTGAATCATTCAAACCAAACGAGTTTTCTAATTCTTCTATTAGTCTTTTCATCTCATCTCTTGCGGTTTTGAAAGACCCGTCTATCTTTGATGCACTGTAGCATAACCTACTTGACGTTGAATGTAGAGCAACGACCCTTGCCATTTGCATCACTTTTGGAGACACATTCAAGTCAACATAACTAGGTGCAGAAGCCTTCGCATCATTAGTCCACCTACTTTGAATCAAAGTCCCGGGCAAATATGTGTAATCTAAGTGCTTCAAAATGTGAAGTTGACGGCGACACAGAAGTCTAACGGTCTCAAATTTTTTGCAGGAGTAAATTAGGGTTTTCGTACGAGAAATCAAAACTAATTTCAAATTTCCTATTTTTTTCTTTGTACTTTGACAAAATATAATGTTGACATTCATATGATAAGGACTGAATCTCTGCCTCAATCCGGTACAATGTCTCCCGTAGAAGTTCATCTTGGAATGCACGAAAAGATTCGCGGGTAAAAATCGCAGCAGCATGGCTTTTAAGGTCGACCAGTTTTGTGATCTGGAAGGGCTTCGTATGGGAACTTATGTAATCCGCTTTCAACTCGTTCATACGCATTCTACTAATTCCATCTTTAATTGCACGAACAACATCTAAATATGTCTTCTTGTGTTTCAGTGCAATCGCTAGTGAAGCATTCATAGACTCGCACCTTTGTGTTGAGCGAATATTGACAAAGAAATGACCGGTTAGATATGCTTGTGCCCATAAGTGTCGTGTATTTCCCTTCTCAATCACCCATGGATGCTTTTCGACGTTGAATTCTGAAACAACCGAATGCCATTGAATATTAAATTCCTCAGTTGTCCACCAAGAAGCCATGCATTTTGAGAATGTTGCTGTAAATTTTGGGTCACCAAATGTTAGCTTGTGCATTGCGAGAAAGATGTCAAGAACATAATCTGTGCTTAGCATAAGGGATAACAGATTTGATAGCCCTTTGTATTGCCCTATTCCCATCAGTGACAACTAAAATGGGTGATTTACTCATCATGGCTTCTAAAAAATTTGTAGCACCCACTCGAAAGATTGAGACATCTCGTCAGCGATTATGGCAGTGGCAAACACAATTGTGTTATGGTGATGATTGACACCGACAATAGGCATAATTGGTCGACCATACAAATTATCTTTGTACGTTGTGTTGAACGCAATTACATCACCGAAGCATGTGTAATCCGATCTTGATGTAGAATCCGACTAAATAAGATTATGCAACACCCCTGATTCGTCTACCGAGTATATCATAAAAAACCCGGGATCATCATGTTTCTTATAATAAAAGTAGTCAATAAGCGCATTCACATCCCCATCGATGATTTCCTTTGCTTTACCTCTTTGAAGTGCATTGTAGAGGTCTCTATGTTTAAATCCAACATTATGATAACCCCTGCCTGCTGCGTTAAATAGTTCATTACTTATGACGTGCCAACACCGACCTCTTTCAATGTTGTTGCCTCATCGATATCAGCCTTACTTACAACTCTATTAGAACGCATAAATGGTGTCATAGCAGGTGTACACAATGCATGATTATGTTTCTGATAAGACTTACTTATAACCCACTGATCATTTGTATTTATTGATGTAACTACGACTCTAGCCTTACATCGTGTTCTTGTGACTGGCGTATGAGCACGTTGACGATCAACAGTATTGACTTTTGATACTCGAAACCCTTATTTGGAACAACAAAATTATTGTCTTCAAATTCCCTTCCACGTCAAGCCGTGTTGTTCCCTTACGTGCACTAAACCCATGTTCCCGTGTGAATCCCTTGTAAAAGTACCAAGCTTGATCACGTGAACAAAAGAGCTGACCAACCAATCTATCAGATTCATCAACATTATGTACTTCATGGCATTCCTCGGTTGGCTTAACATTGTATGCATCAGTATGATCCATGGCAAAAATTTTGTTGTGCAAGTTCAGTGGTCCCGGAGTTGATGGAGATGTAAGCAAAGGTTCATTGAACATGTTTCAGTCGTGCTGCTTTCAATAGGATGTGGTATTGGTAGTGGTAGTTAAAGGGTGGATACAACATTAAATTTGCAGTACATATTTAGGTATGTACAATAACTACCTAAATATGTGTCGATACATTTTATACAAGTATCGACCCAAAAAAACATCAAAACCAATCATTATAATGTAATAGGTAATTTAACAATGTAACTGGTATAAATATATCGGCTAATTAGAAAACAGGTCAACATAATGTATCGACACTTGTGGAATTTGTGTCGATACTTATTGTCCAGGATGAATGCACAAATGAGGTGCACGCATAAAGTGTCGATACATTTATTAAAAGTATCGATCCCAAAAATATTGAAACCAATAATTATAATGTATTAGGTAAATTTACAATGTAACTGATATAAATATACCGGTTTTATGATAAAATAGGTCAGCATAAAGTATCGACACTTGCTAAATTTGTGTCGATACTTTTGGTCCAGAATAAATGACAAAAAGGGTGCAACCATAAAGTGTCGATACATTTATAAAAAGTATCGATCCCGAAAACATCGAAACCCATAAGTATAATGTAATAGGTAAATTTTCAATGTAATCGGTATAAATATACCGGTTTTATGAGAGAATAGGTCTAAATAATGTATCGACACTTTGTTATTTTGTGTCGATACTTTTTTCCAGAATGAAATATGAATGCCTAACCAGGTGCAAGCATAAAGTGTTGATACATTTAAAATTGTATCGATCTAAAAACATCGAAACCGATAATAATAATGTAATAGGTAAATTTGCAATGTTACCGGTATAAATATACCGGTTTACTTCGAAAATAGATCAATATAAGTGATATCTATTACATTATATAAGAGCTATCTAATATGTTATTGTACTTGATAATATTTCCGGTTAAATGCCTATTTTATTATATAAACGCTATCTATTACATTATATAAGCGCTACCTAATATGTTATTGTACTTGATAATATTTATGGTTAAATGATATAACATTACCGATCAAAATTTTAACCGGTCACTTATTTAAACGGTCACGTCATTTTTTAGCATTTTTTAACTGCCGTACAACAGAACTTCCCCATTTATGTAACTTACCTTATTTCTTTAATATGATTGTTAAAATAATATCATATATGTAATGCAAGTCCGAGAGATCGGTAATTCACATTATTTTTTCATAATAAATTGATTTATATTTATATAATTAATATTTATAAGAATATATAAAATGACTTAAATAATGAACATCGCGTCGGTTGACTTAAAATTTTATATGAACGGAGAATATTAAAATTAAAATTTTAAATAAAAATAAAAATATTATTATATTTTATTAAAATAAAAAAAATATTACAATTATATTAAATATATATTAAAATAAAAAATAATATATTATTAAGTATATTAAATACTTATTAAAATAATAATATTATTAAAATATTAAAACTTATAATATTAAAATAAAAATATTATATTATATTTTAAATATTTAACAAATTAATTATATTAATTTTATGAAATTAGTAAATAATATTAATTTTATTAATAATTTATTATACATTATTAAAATACAAATATTATATTATATTATAAAAATTATCAATAAATATAATTTAATAACTAATATTTTTATTAACATGATATTAAAATAATATATTATTATTAAAATATATAAAATAATAATATTTTGAGTGTTTATGCTTTAAAGTAAAAAGTTCATAAAATTACTTACGATAAATCAGGTCGTAAGTCATTTTCTAAAAAATGTAAAGAAAATTTAATTAATTAGAAAAATAAATTACATTGATCATCTGTTTTCCGCTAACCAAACACCAAAAAATAAGAAAAATATTTTCTAAAAAATCAATTACAGAAAAACAAATAAACCCTAAATGATAAATGAAAATAATTTTAAGCGAAACATGAGACGAAATGATTTTAAGTTTTATTCAGAATGGGTCACGGGATAAAAATAAAAGTAAATTTCTTGACGAAAATAAAAGTGAGGAGCATCTTAATATGAACTACCTAGTAAAATATTATTGATTGGAGCGAGTTTTCCTCCTTCCCTATTGCATCTTCTATTTTATTAGTACGAATGTGCAGTTGCAAAGTAATAGAAAATCTCAAAATGTGTAGTAGTATATCAATATAGTGGAAATTCTTTTAAAACTTACCAGGAAAATCAAGGAGAAAATATATAGATTAATTAATTAAATAATTTATATGACTTCTTAATTTCTGCATTTAATTCATTCCTCGCATTTGTTTTCATTTGCAGTGTCCATAATATAACCAGAAAATAAAACCAAACAACTATAAGTTGGTCATTAAAAAAGGGCTAACAACTTGAAACATCACAAACCCAGACAGGCCAATACTAGGTTATCAACACACATCTCGGCAGCCGGGGCCTGATCTTTTGTTAAAAAACCGAAAATTTTCAATAATTAAACATGAAAACACTCGAACCTCCGACCAAGTATCTCAAGATGTGTCCCCTGTTGTGAACATATTTAAACCTATGGCTGGTGTACCTTAGTCAAAGACAAATTCCTGCCTATTTGACTAAATTCCTGCCTAAGATAGATTGAAGATTGCAGAGAACTTATCTAAGCTCAAAGGTTGGACATTTTGGGATATGAAAGTGAGACCTGCTGCTAGCGCAATAGAGGCGAATAACACACCTTTCAAGCATCCATGTCCTTGTGATAGATGTCCCAAAATCAACTTGCAGAGCTTGTCTGCCTCCTTCAATGATGCATCGGCATTGACTTCTGCTTTCTCATTCTATTTATAAAACCAAATGGAACGAGTTAGGTGTTCATCCAGTCTGGTTCCAATTTGTTGAAAACCATAAAAGCATGTAAGAGTATAGAGCAAAAACGAAATGCAGCCAGTGCTCGAAAACCACAAAACTTATGAGAATGCCTTACCTTCAGCCTGAAACTTTTTAAAGTTTCCCTTAATGGATCAACTGTAGAATGTTTCACAGAATGCTCCTTCCATTCAGTCGCAAGTTTTCTCAAAACAGAAACACTTGCTTCAAGATTATCGATATAAAGCGCATCCTGTTTCAGAAGATATAGGAAAAGTTCAACAAAACTTATAACAATTTGTAAATTATAAGTGGATGAAAGTCTTCAAATCAAATTCAAATAGAACAGAAATTTCTCACCCATTGCTTATAACACTCAGGATTTTGAGTTAAACACCAAATAAAAATATCACTTGCTTCCTTTGATAATTCAGGAACACCTGCAAAACAAAAAAAAAATCAAATACAGTAGGAATGGATAGAGGTTAATTCCTGCACCACTTAATTCAGGTCGGTTGAAGATGCCATATGAGAATAGTCTATAAGAACTTTATTTTACCTTCTCCGGCAGCTTTTACAGCATAGTTCAGTATCTGCTGGCCAACTTGTTTCATTGATTTGCTTCCTGGAGAACCAGCAAGGGAAACCTCCTTCAGGGTAGGATAAATAGCTTCAAACCTCTCTGTTGCCTAAATTATTAATCGATTATAAATGAATCAGATCTCAGGACCTTTGGGAAACCTAGGATGGAATCAAAAAGAAGTCACGAAAAGACAACCTACCTTAACTCGAGCTGAGGGTGCAGGAAAGGTGAGTCTCATCAAAATATCAAGGTCAGAAGGTGGCACCAGTCGATCTCCCTTTCTGACAGCACCATTAACTAAAATAGGACGAGCTTTCGGGGAGGAAATTATTCTGATAGCAACAGATAAAACAACTATGATCAAAATAATTTTGGGAGGGGGAAGGGAAGTGTTGGCATAAAGAAAGCCTATAGATTCAACATGAAAAGATATTTCTCAAATGCCACAGCCCAAAGATTTAAAAATGCAATCTATTTATCAAAAGAAAATGGCACACCTCTCTACCAGCTGCAAGATCAAGTCTCTAGACTGAGGATTACAACTTGACGTGCCACTTAGCATAGGCAGCAGAACATGTACCCACATGTACAGCCCCACAGCTAAATCTCCTTGGGTGGCCTGCAAAAAAAAACAAAACAAAAAACAAATACACCGTTGAAATTCATACCCTGAAGAGCAATTTGTATCTGGACAAACATTATACTCTTGAGGTTGTTATTTGTCAATAGCCACCTGAGCAATCATCCACACAATGATTGGCAGTTTATACTGTCCCTGATATTTCGGATCTTCCCTCAATGTTGGTGCCAAATTGATCAAAACATCAGGCTTTCTTCTTAGTGCCATTGATAAAACCAGAAATATAGCAACCTGCAATTCCAGATTAGTTAATTAAGCAGGAATTGCTCCTCTGAACAGCTGCTAACATTAATCAGTAGAAGATTATATAACAATATTCAAACAAAGCAGATTAGCATTCAGATTATAGGCTTTAAATTGAAATCAGTTAAGCAGAACTTAAATAGAAACATTTTGAAGAGAACCAAATTATACATATTTCGGAAAGAAACAGGTCCCTCATGACTTCAGAGGAGATTCTTGGTCATGACCTCACCTCATTTTCAAAGATAGAAAGTTTGCAGTCAACCCTACCATATAACTAACCAAACCTTTATACGGGTACAGCTAGAAGAAACAATGGAATTTGTGCGATATATGACAATCTATAAAGATGCGGATAAGACCGATATAGTATATCAAACGATGCCTCTCAGTTTCTATCGAAGTTATTTCCTTTTCTGATCCACATGATCCCATCATACTTTAATCTGATTGCATAATAAATTGCCGATCAACTTTATTTTGGTTGGGCCATCGCTGGTACTTCAAACTATAAATATGTACTTAAAAGAAAATTATTTAAATGCATGATCCATATTTCAATGTCCTCCATCTAGTTCGACAATGATAGCCTAACATATACAAAGTCTCGCCCCTAGAACCAAATAGATACATGCAAGTAACATCAGGAAAACAGATCATATTTTAGGTTTATTAGTATCAGATATTGAAACAACTCAACAAGTAGGAAATTAACCAGTTACTAGCATGCAAGAGGTTACACCCACGTCCGAAAAAATCATGCTTTGTACATAAACATGTAAGCCTCCATTATTTTTCTACTAAGGACATGTCCATCGGTTTAGATCAATCTCAAAGATGCAGTGCAAATATTTTCCAAGAGCATATAAAAAAATAATATCAACAATTACCAGAGACTTAGATGATGCTTGCTGAGGGACTTTCTTTGATCCCTTAGTAGTTCCTTGATGATTAGCAAGGTCAGCCAGTATGCTGTCCAGTGACCATAACACAAAAGATACTAACGCGTCCGAAGATCGCAGGTTCAACCAATCAACGGATATCTTATAAACATCTTCCGGAACATTTGAAAGAGGAATCTATACAAAAATAAAATAAAAATAGCAAATCCAAAATTAAGACAACAAAGTTCTGTCTATCGTACTGCACAGGAAATAACTAAAGGAAACCATTATCTTATCCAAAACATCAAAGAAACAAAACTTAAAGAAGAAAACTTACATCAACCAATTTCGAAACAGTAGATTCTTTGAAAATTTTTAGCCAAGGGAATTGAGCTGCACTCACAGAAGCAAATGCTCTTCCAAAGTAATCTGCGAATCTCATTAATTGTATATCTTGCTGTGTCTCATAAGAGCTCTGAATTTTTAATTTTTTAAAGTATGAATCAGATTTAGATCACTCAAAATTAGAACACAAAAAATGTAAATTTTAAGTTTGGTTTTGAAAAAAAAATCAACTATTACTCACAGTTATATCAATAAGAAAAGCGCTTAGATCACCGGCGTCAATCTTCAGAGCAGCTTCCGCTACAGTCACCTTCGGTTTTTTCGGCTTCTTCTGCTTTACCTTTTTAATCTCCACAGCACCGTTCTCCCCCGCAGCACCGGTGTCACTATCATCTTTACCGTCAAACTTCAGTCCGTTAGCGACAGGAGAAGAGACCGCCGCCTCTGCTTCAACCGCCGCAACAGCTTCGGCGGCTCGACGACGGCGATCCTCAGAATGCTTTTCGATCGAACTGAAGACGTCGGAGGAGACGCCGCCATTGTGAAGATCAAAGGAGAGACTTCCCGGCGGATGAGGTTTCGAAGGTTTCCGATTCCGTTTCGAATACGAAACCGTTTGCCATTCATTAATTTCCCCGTTTCTTCCGTTATCATTTTCTACTTCTCTGAGAATTTGCTCAATCATAGCTGAATTTTCGTCCATCGTTATTTAAAGTACAATAAAAGAGTAAAATACTGCTTGCTCTATTTTGTTTATGTTTTTGGGACGATTAAAACAACGAAGTTTCGTCGGAGAAGACTATGTTTTACGACGAAAGAGATCGGAGAAAAGTAATTTAGAGGGGAAAGAAGGCCGCGGGTTTTTATAAGGAAGTATTTGGAGGAGGGGGGGCTACACGGACAATGACTGTGTTTTAATACTTGACACGTGGATTACTGTTTCTTTCCCCTTCTTAATCCCTGGTTTTACGTTTCTCAATTTAGGTTTGTCTCCGTTTGGGATTAGATATGGAATAATTTTAAAGATTTGATATTTTTATTTTATTTTAGATTCTGTGGGATTTAATTTAATAGTTTATTCTAATTTTTATTCTATTATTTATTTTAAAATTGTTTAATTGAGTTATTTTATCTTTTTATTCGCATTAATTATTATGATATTAATGATATAACTTATGATTTAACGTAATAATTTATGTATTATCGATAATTGATTTTTCTATTGATTTCCATAAAATAAATAATTTTAATAAAAGTTTAATGATTATTATATCTCTAAAGTAAGAAGTTGTAAAATATTAAGAAATCAAATTAATATGAAAATATTTATAAATCATTTAAAAATTAAATATTTTTTTCGGAAAAGTCTTCGACTCTTTTTCACCAACTTAAGTCTACTATTATTATTTGAACCTATTTTTAGTAGAAAAATATTATATTATAGTGACAATAAAATTTAATCTTTTGAGCGCAACATTTTCTTCTTATTCTTTTCCATTAACAGCATGGTTTACCCTTTAAACAAAATACTCTTGTTTAGTCAAGATGAGTTGCATCAACTCCGATAAACAGAACACTCTGCTCGGTGGTCGGCTTCCTTACCTTTCTCGCCGTTCAAGTTTTGAGTTTAGCTAAGATGAGTTGCACCATGTTTAATGTAGCTTCTGGCCACCTCTTGCATGTTGAAATGTCAAAGCTTGGAAAATTGGTTCAAGTTAGGCATCTAATATTACAATGCCAAAATTAGGTGCAACAATGTCAAAATTAGGTGCAATAATGTTTGAAAATTAAATGGGTAAATTATAAACTTTAGTCACTAAACTTTAGGGTATTTATAAGATTAGTCCTTAAGTTTCAACTATAAATACCCTAGCTCATTTAGCTTCAAAACCATCCCAAAGCATTCTAGCTTTCTTCCAATACTAGAGAGAATTTAGAGAGTTTCTTGAGAGTTGTTTTCTCCTTTTTATCAAGAGAGAATTATCATTGTTTTCTCCTTGGTAGATCGAGAGAGGTTGTAATTCCTATTTTTCTCGTAGTGAAATTCTTCTACCGTTGCCCGTGGTTTTTACCCTAAATTTTTAGGGGTTTTCCACGTAAATTTTGTGTCTCTTTTATCTTCATTTTTATTTTCTCAAATTATCAGTTGCGATTTTGCTCTATCCGATAGCCGTCTTCCGCAACAATTGGTATCAGAGCTAGATTAGAGTGTGTAATATCTGCTTATTGTCTTTGTGATTGCCACCAAAAGGTGGATCCTCCAACATAAGAAAGTAAGAAGTTATTACCCATTCTTTGAAGGTTCCAGAGAACTATTCACGATAGTGAAATAGTGGGAGTTATCCGTAAAAGAAGCTATGGCAACGAAATTTGATATTGAAAAATTCAATGGGATAAATTTCTCATTGTGGAAATTGAAGATGAAGGCCATCCTAAGGAAAGACGGGTGTCTAGCGGCTATCAATGAAAGGCCGGTGGATTTCGCAGATGACATCAAATGGATCGAAATGGATGGAAATGCTATGGCAAACTTTCATCTAGCATTAGCAGATGAAGTATTGTCAAGTATCGAGGAGAAGAAGACAGCTAAGGAGATATGAGATCATCTCACCAAACTGTACGATGCCACATTGTTGCACAATAAAATTTTCCTTAAGAGAAAATTGTACACTCTCCGTATGCCAGAATCTACTTCAGTGACGGAGCACTTAAATACACTGAATACTTTATTTTCTCAGCTTACATCTTAAGCTGTAAAATAGGAGAACAAGAACGTGCTGAACTTCTACTTCAAAGTCTATCGGATTCGTATGATCAACTCATCATCAACTTGACAAACAGTAATGTCGCTAGTCTAGTCTTTGATGATGTTGCAGCTACTGTTCTACAAGAAGAAAATCGGCGCAAGAACAAGGAAGATAGACAAGTAAATCTGCAACAAGCAGAAGCGTTGACAACGATGACAACGATGAGAGGGAGATCAACAGAACGTGGCCAAAGCAACAGTCACAAACATGGTAGATCGAAGTCGATGAGCAAGAAGAATTTAAAGTGTTACAACTGTGGAAAGAAGGGTCATTTAAAGAAGGATTGTTGGAGTCTAAATAAAAACTCAATCCACAAGGCAATACCGCAAACACTTCAGATGATGGAGATGCTCTATGCTGTGAAGCGTCAACCACCGTGGAAGGAAGAAAACGATTTGCAGATATATGGCTCATTGATTTGGGAGCAACATATCACATGACCTCAAGAAGAGAATGGTTCCATCATTATGAACCTGTCTCAGGAGGATCTGTGTATAGTTGCAATGATCATGCCTTAGAGATCGTTGGCGTGGGGACCATCAAATTGAAGATGTATGACGGAACAATTAAAGTTGTTCGAGATGTGCGGCACGTGAAAGGGTTGAAGAAAAATTTATTATCCTACGGATTGTTGGATAATAATGCTAGCAAGATTGAAACACGGAAAGGAATCATGAAGGTGTTCCGTGGAGCGCTTGTGGTGCTAAAAGGCGAAAATATAGCAGCAAACTTGTACATGTTGAAGGGAGAGACTTTGCTAGAAGCAGAAGCCTCTGTTGCCTCATGTAGTTCAGATTCGGCAATGCTATGGCATCAGAAACTTGGACACATGTCAGAACAAGGAATGAAAGTCCTTGTGGAGCAAAAGCTACTTCCAGGCTTAACAAAGGTATCACTTTCTTTGTGTGAGCATTGCATAACAAGTAAGCAGCACCGGTTGAAATTCAACACATCAAATTCTAGAGGCAAAAGTGTTCTAGAATTGGTTCACTCTGACGTATGGCAAGCACCAGTAACGTCCCTAGGTGGAGCAAAATACTTTGTCTCATTTATTGATGACTACTCCAGGAGATGTTAGGGGCACCCTATTAAGAAGAAGTCAGACGTGTTTTCAACTTTCAAAACCTTCAAAGGGCTGGTGGAACTTGATTCTGGAAATAAGATCAAGTGTTTCAGAACAGATAATGGAGGAGAATACACAAGCGAAGAATTTGATGACTTTTGCAGGAAAGAAGGCATCAAAAGACAGTTCACAGTGGCAAACACTCCTCAACAAAATGGAGTGGCAGAGCGGATGAACAGAACCTTGTTAGAAAGAACAAGAGCAATGTTGAAAGACGCAGGCCTAGAAAAATCATTATGGGCAGAAGCAGTCAATACCGCCTGTTATTTGGTGAATCAAGCTCCATCAACTGCAATAGAGCTGAAGACACCAATGGAGATGTAGACTGGTAAACCAGTTGATTATTCAAACCTCCATGTATTTGGAAGTATTGTGTACGTGATGTACAACGCCCAAGAAATTTCAAAGCTGGATCCAAAATCCAGAAAATGCAAATTCTTGGGGTATGCTGATGGAGTAAAGGGGTATCGCTTGTGGGATCCAACTGCCCGCAAAGTGATCATTAGCAGGGATGTTATCTTTGTAGAAGATAAGCTACAAAGAAAAGAAGACAATGACAGCGTTGAAAAGTCAGAGACTACACAGATACATGTAGAAAAGGAGTTTGAACAAGGAGATTCTTCTGAAGCAGAACCAGCACATGATGAACAAGAACTAGAGAGTTCTGAAGCTCCAACAACTCGTCAATCAGATCGTGTGAGAAGACGTCCCAATTGGCACTCAGATTATGTTATAGAAGGAAATGTTGCATATTGTCTTTTAACAGAGGACGGTGAGCCATCAATATATCAGGAGGCAATAAACAACTCAGATGCTTCACTGTGGATGATGGCGATGCAAGAAGAAATTGAAGCCCTTCATAAAAATAATACATGGGACCTTGTGCCACTACCACAAGGAAGGAAGCCAATTGGTAACAAATGGGTTTTCAAAATCAAGCGAAATTGTGACGATCAAGTGGAGAGGTATCGTGCAAGACTGGTGGTCAAAGGATATGCTCAGAAAGAAGGTATTGATTTCAATGAAATTTTTTCTCCTGTGGTTCGACTAACAACAGTTCGAGTAGTATTGGCAATGTGTGCTACATTGAATTTACATCTGGAACAGCTAGATGTTAAAACAGCTTTTCTTCATGGAAATCTTGAAGAAGAGATTTATATGCTCCAGCCTGAAGGTTTTGAAGAAGACGAAAAGAAGAACTTGGTTTGCAGGTTGAACAAATCTCTGTACGGTCTAAAGCAGGCGCCGAGGTGTTGGTATAATAGATTTGATTCCTTCATTATGTGCCTTGGATACAACAGACTTAATGCAGACCCTTGTGCTTATTTCAAGAGGTCTGGTGATAATGATTTTGTTATATTGCTGTTGTATGTGGATGACATGTTGGTTGCAGGACCCAACAAAGATCATATTGAAGAATTGAAGGCACAACTGGCTAGGGAATTTGAAATGAAGGACTTGGGATCAGCAAACAAGATTCTAGGGATACAAATTCACCGAGACAGAAGTAATAGGAAGATTTGGCTTTCACAAAAGAATTACTTGAAGAAGATCTTGTCACGATTCAACATGCAAAGTTGTAAGCCAATTTCTACCCCTCTTCCTATTAACTTCAAATTATCCTCCAGTATGAGTCCTAGTAGTGAAGAAGAGAGGATGGAGATGTCTCGAGTACAGTATGCATCAGCAGTGGGAAGTTTGATGTTCGCTATGATATGCACAAGACCATACATTGCACAAGCAGTGGGAGTGGTTAGTCGGTACATGGCGAATCCAGGCAAAGAGCATTGGAATACAGTAAAGAGGATCCTAAGATACATCAAAGGGACCTCAAATGTTGCATTATGTTACGGAGGGTCAAACTTACTAATTAATGGGTATGTAGATTCTGAC